TTGTAGCCATGAGGCTGTAGCGGCGGAACATCTTCAATTAAGGGGGGGAGCACTGCTGACTTTTGGTCTCATTCTTTCCATTTCCATTTCCATGCAACGCCTATCGGGATAATGTTAAAATGGCAAAATCAAGGGGGGCACGGTGCCCCGGTGCCCCCTCCCCCGGCTCCGCCGCCTATGCCATGAGGGACGTATATAGGTACGTTTTGTGCAAGGTGCGTTCGCACGTAAAATGTTGCGACACATTTCATATTTGCTGGCTCAAACAGCCACAAACACTCCTTTCTTTTTCTCTCGCAGATTTTCGGCCTCGGGCTGTTCGTTCACTAAGCAATGTGTTCCCATGCATCTGAAAATCGCATGGTAGGAAAAGGACTCATGCATCAAACGGTCGGCGATGCTAACGGAGCTGAGAGATAATTAGGTCCTTTGGAAATTGGATCTACTATGTACAGTACATTGTCCATAAATAATGAATAACGGGGATGTATTCTGGTATCAGGCGACAGATAGGCATCGCCATTCTCTGGATAGAATCTGCTGACTACCAGCATTTGCGTTAGAAAAGATAACTGAGGGTCGGCAAATAGTGGGATAGGCCCCCTCTGAGGGTAGCTGAGCCCTTCGGCAGGGGTAATGAGGGCGGACCCATGGGAAAATAATAATTTTTAGGATTCATAACTCGCATAGATTCATAAGCTGCTTGATGTGGAGTATACGCCTGTTTTCTTACTTTGATAGGCTTTTTATCTAATCAGACCATTTTTAGAGCTAGCAGGATTATTGGAATTAGGGGAGACATTTGTCTGACCGGACACGGTCAATCGTAGACTGGAGACTGAGCCCAGCCAGTGGGCAGCCGCCACCCATGACCCACCCCCTTCCCCCCTCCCAAGCACTCACTGCACCCGGCTACAGGCGCGCTCCTATGTGAGCTGCCCGATTGCGATATACGTTGCCGGTCCAGCCCGGAACAGGGGGATGAGGCGTGGAGGAGGATTCAACTATCCTGAAGATGGAAAGGACGGATTGACGTCGAATCACCATTCTGTCCTGGCATTGTCTCGAGAAAGAGGCTACACGTGAAGGTCGCTGAGAGTGGGGCCATGAAAATTTTGGATTAGGTGTAAACATGATAAACTGGGAGTCGATTTGTTGTGATGCGCTACGCCTTACGCGGGTAATTTGTTAGAGCCGGATCGGTCCTTTTTTCTTTTTGCTGAGAGTGGGTACGACTAACCTGCAATGGAATTTAACTTTACTCCTAGGAGGGTGGTTAAAAATGAATGCAGATATACGCGCATACGAGAGGCACTGGTTTACTCCCAATCCTCCGTTTAATTGTATTCAGTGTGCACTGTGCAGGGTCTGATAGGTGGAGGTAATGGATCTGTCTAGCTTCCAAAAAGAAAGCATCACCCTGGATACGTGTCGACCACAACTTTAAATGAAAAGCAATGGACAACGTAAATGGTTGATAATGACCGTGTTGCCATCTCCCCGTTCGCGAATCATGAAGTTATGCTTCCTCACTGAGGCTCTTAGGCGGGTTATAGAGCATGACGGATGTGGGTTCCGCTTTTTCAAGCAATAGTTGTCAACAGTTGATTGATGTTTTGTCAAAATATATTAGCATATACGGCAGTTCAGTGTACTTTATGTCCGTCTGATGTGCCCGTCGTTGCGTTTTCGCAACGCTGATGGCGCCCGGTGTGCCCTTCGTTGCGATTTCGCAACGCATGTTTTTTACGTTTTTCTCGAGAAACTTTTGCTGCAGGCAAAAATTATTTTCGATTCCATACAAGGCCCTGGTAGGAGCATAACATATTTTGATTTCGTCGATTTTCATGATGGTCAATATTCCTGGGCATAAATGGGTTAAACAAAACCACTCACGAAAAAGTGTGTCTCGGTAAGTGCTTCACTGCTGACCAAAAGATCGACAACTTCCCTGGAACCACTAAATGGTCGGTGAGCTCCGCTATCGCCGTCCTATGAAGACATATCGAATGCCATCAGTTTGTTAGGACAGGGCGCCGGCCCGACATGCGGTCAGTATCATTTCGCTGTCAGTTTGATTTATTGAGCCGAGGCGCCTTTGTCGTTTGTCCCAAAAGCCAACAGCTGTGAAACTATATCTGAGCCACTCCGCGGCGCATTCTAACCGCCTCGGACCGTGTTCGCTCGTCGCCGGACAATCCATCTCGGAGCGGTCGAAATGTGAGAGAAATGACAGAGCTGTTCGCCGGGTATTTCGGACAATGAAAGCCAGTTCGGTGAGCGCCATGTCTCAAGAGAACAGGCTTGGATCGAAGGTGAACTCCGCCACAACTTCATTGTTCTCCAGTTGTATGCTATGGGAGTGTAACGGTTATCATAATTAGAATGCACTCAAATTCCCATCGTATCCGTGTCTTGTAAATAATTTTCGAATGCCGAATATGATTGATGTCTTCATTTGATAACTTCTTGAACGGTGGCATTAGCCTTTGGTCGATTGACATCAGGTCATTTTGCTAGACATCAGTTTACAGTTATAACTATTTACCTGATCACCAGCATTTAGGTAAAGATCCTGAGTACTGAATGAACAACATGTGGTTTTCGGCTTATAGAGATTACTGACAATCACTGTATTTGAATGCAAGAAGATTATTTTGCATAATGGGCAAATGGAAAAGTAGTTAGGTAAGACAAATTTGATTTCTTAAACAAAGTACCCGCCAAATAAAACTTAATCATTTAATTATCCAAACCTGCATCACCTCTCTCTCTCTCTCTCTCTCTCTCTCTCTCTCTCTCTCTCTCTCTCTCTCTCTCTTTCTCTCGCTCTCACCTCCCCTTTCTCTCCCCCCTATCCCCAGACATCTGGTGACCCGCCCCAGCCAGTATAGCGCGATGGACCCAGTCCCCCGAGTCTCCATTCCAGGCCTGCTCGGACCTCATTAATCAAACACACTCTGGACTCCGAGTGTCCTCTGTCGACAGTCCGACTCCTCCGGGCCGCGCCGGCCGGCCATGTGGGCCGGAAGGCCGGCCGGACCGGAAGGCGAGGGTTCCGGCGGAGGGAGGGGCGCCCGCCGGGAGGGGGGGGGGGTGGACACTCCCCGGAGGGAGGGCAGGGGAGGAGAGGAGACACACGCGCCGGCGCGAGTGCAAACAGAGGTGAGTGACGGCCAAACAGAGGGCCAACAGCGGTAAGCAGGAAGGTCAACAGCGAGTAAGCAGGAAGGTCAACAGGCCGCCAGTCTTCGGTGGCATATCCTCCTTCCTGAGAGCTCAGTGACGTACTCTTGACGGCTGAGAAAATAGTGGAGAACGGAGCTCAAATCTGGTATCTCTGAACACGGATTACAATGTAGTTTATGCATTCATACTGGTTCAAATGAGCATCGAAAACACTTCTAAATTCTAATCATGAGATATTCAAAATACCAATAAATTAAACAGAAGTTGAAACATATAAGAACGAATTGAAGATTGGTCAGATCTAACGAAAGCGAATATTTTCAAGCATTATTGGTTCATACATAGTTTCAGCACTCAAACGTTACTACAAACCATCCAAGCTATGTCATTATAATTACCTTTTTAAATCAACCATTCTGTCACATCTTGTATTTACTGTGTCATGAGTTGAATTCCGTGTTTTTGCCAGCGTGTCTGTTGCTTCGTGGCCGCGTTTTTTCGTGACCGTCTGTCCGTGACCCACTTCCGTGACTGGGTGTTCGTTGTCTATATGTTCTCGTGTCTCCCTGCAATATGTCTCTGTGTCTGTGTTGTGTCCTGCACGGCTCTCGTATTTGTTCCCCGTGTGTCCGATATGTTCGGATGGAACCCAGGTAACACAGCTCGCCGATCGCTAAAGCTACCAACAATGCCCAGTTCACCATGTGAAACATTCGGTACCTCATTTCTCATCACTCAGTGCACATTGCTCCGGTACTCAGTGCCCCAGTAGTCAGTAATCTGTACTCAGTTCCTCAGCCAAATAATCTCATGAGTACTGACTGCCTCAAGACTCAATACCTACACAGTACTGAGTACCTACTCAGTACTCAGTGCCGATCTCTAGGCCAGCAGCGCCTCCCCGTTTTTCGGCTATCTGTCATCTCAGCAATGCTCGGCAGCACTGACGATCCCGTCTTCAGCGGCTCGACGGCGAGCTAAATCCTTCCGGCGGCCGCGGCAGCGCAGCTCTAACGGGCCGCCGGCTTATTCTGCACATAGTTCTGGTCGCCGACTGCCTTGATAACGCCTTCAGTGGTGGATCAGCGTTTCCGGATAAACTGCCGGTTTAATATTTTATGTATGTGCTTAGCGGTAAGTGGGCGAGCGTTGGCCAGCTGCCCAGTGGAGGTGGGGGCGCTCAGGTAGAGTGGTATGACACCACACCTCTCGACTGTCAGGTGAGATGCCATCAAAGTGGCCTGCTTTACCCCGTCCGGCGGAAATGGCCACATCCGGTCTGCTCAGTAGACTTATCCGGGGTAGATGCAACAGTGCCGTGTGATGTCAGGGTTGATTCTGAAAGGTGTCCCGAGGTCTTTCTCGGGTGATGGGTGGGCTTATAGAGATAAAGCACCTGTTGATAAGGCCTGAAGTTGAAATCACGAATGAAGTATCTCATAAATGTCACGCTGCTCTTGTCCTCTTGAAGACTGGTCATATAACGAACGAGCACTCCCTCAATAGGCAGGCTACTCGGGCGACAAGTGCTCAAAGCTCTAACTATAAAATGATCATTTAAACTCCTTTGTTTGTAACGATGAGATGAATGCATCGAACATCTGGCGGGCCGAGGGTAAAACTCAGCCATAGTAGCCGCAGCTTTAACTCTTGACTCGGGTGGACCATTGACGCAAGCATTGACGTAAAAGAGGCATTCAGGCAGATAGCGGACTGGGATAGTCACTCCTCCCGACGCGACCGACTCAATCCGGTCGCCATGGAAACCGGTCTTTGGTCGCACGTGCGCTCTGTTGGCAGTGTGATCCAGCTCAGCCGGTCATCTGGGCCAGGTGGGCTGTCAGTAAGGGTCGGTTCACACCTGTTTGCGTAAGGCTGTCTGAGCCGGCGGACGTCTCTCGAGGACAAGCAGTTGCTAACCGGGTGATAAATGTGACAATAACTCCAGATATAACTGCCATGAAACAGAAATTATAACTTCTTAGGGACGTTCGATGCTCATGTTTTCAGAGAATGGCTCTTAGAAAGGCTAAGGCATTGTTAAAAAACACATTCCCAGTAATGTTTGACGGCTCTGGGTGATAAATTACGAAGAAAAGGTGTGAAATAATCTCTCAAGCTACACTTCATGGAACGTATAAACTACAAATCAATGTCGCAGGCCAAAACAACTAAAAGTGCCACCGAGTGTCATTTTATTACACCGTCACTGGGAGTGTAAGGACAGCTGAATAGTTCCACTGTCACCCGCACGCTTCTACGGTCCAGTCAGTCCCCAAAGCGGCCTCTGTCTCCCCCCCCCCCCCCCGGCGGCCAGGGGAGGGGATGCAGAAAGGAGAGAAATTATCTCCCCTTTTGGTGGGGCTCGCGTTTCGCCACCACACGCGCCGGGCGCCCTCCCCCTCCCCGGGTCCCCTGGGTCACGTGACACCCGCGGTCAGCGGCGGTATGCGTTGGTCCATGGATTTTCCGGCTATTTGGACGGACGGCAGCTACCAAAACAGCTCGCGACGGCGCCGGACCGAGAGAAGGGGAGAGGAGGGGAGGGAAGAGGAGAGGAGATGTGCACGGCAAGAAATATCCGAGCCAAATGAGATGGATAATTTGCATTAGGTCGATGAGATTGCATGTCATCGCTGTAATGCTTGTAAAAGACACAATTATTGGAAGAAAATGCACTAAATTCGCATCAATTATTATTATAAGCCACACATCGGAGTAGTTCGATAGTTGTATTCGTTTGAAAAGCTAACAGTTTCGGATCATCCCGATTCCTCCTCAAAGCTATTATGAAAAAACATAATATATTTTTTTCATAATAGTTTGGGAGGGGATCAAGATTGATTGTTATCTTTTTAAACGAATACACAACGATCGATAACCTCCGAAGTATGTCTTATAATAATACAATTATTTCTTATTGTCTATTACCTTTTTGGCTGAATCATGCTTTTTACCAATCACATTTCTTCCATGCTAGAAAAAAAGCCTTTTTGATGAATTATTAATTCGTCAATCAGTGTATATTTTTAGCTATGAATGGGATTGGTTCTCCCACTGGTGGATGAAAATTGCGGCAGACTTCTTAGAAACCGCGACAATATGTCATGTCATCGACTATCTGACGTATCCGACAGCCAATCACCTCTGAGAGATATGGTGATAGCCATTACGTCACACCAGCTGACGTAAAAAGTGAGATGTTTTATATCTGCTTAATGCAGTAAAATTTAGTACTCCTAATGTATGTGTAATGTGTATTATATAAGGGGTTAGGAACAAAGCTGCTCAAATTATAGCGCAAGCTGATCGGGTATAATAGAAAGTAATAATCTAGCAGTACCTAATGGAAAACGTCAGCACTAGTAGTATCAGCGAGGCCATTTGTGGATTAGACAGCACTAAATAGAGGATTGTACTTGAAAAGCATTGCTATTTTATTGAAGCAAATGTGCAAACATTACCCAGCATATAATTTACTGGCCACGTAGGTATGCTTTATCGAGGAGCATTTGGCCCAAGGCCCAGATTTGGCCCACTTACAGTAAAGCATTGCTAGACACTGTTTCACTTCCTTCATTCGCCTGCGAGTAGCACGTGGGTGCTTTTCTTGAAATCATCGTTCGTCGTGAGTGTTTGTGTAAAATCGGAACTGCAGGCAAACATCACAAGAGCACTACAACTTTTCTCGGTTAAGAGGTTCAAATAGGCCGATAGGGCCCCTATGCAAAAAAGTCAGCCTGCATTCAATAGCCTTCACCTCAGTGGTCCTGTAATGTGCTACGCTCCGACCTCCGTCGACGGGCGGGTTTTCGGCCCGTCCAGACCTCTAACGAGGCTCCTCTCCTCCCCCGCTCCACTGGCGCGCATGGCACGTGCGGCGCTCAGCTGCGCACCGAGCACCATTCCGGCGCACAGCTGCGCCACAATGGCCACAGCCGCGCCACTTCTGCCGGACAGCTGCCTCAGGAAATAATAGGAGAGGGGACCTGGAACCAGCCACGGCTCAGAGATGATTATTACTGTCCTAGGAAATGGTCCAATGTTCAATGAGGTGGCACACGAAAACGCGTTTGAATTCATAACATTGCATGCCTACCATTTCGCGGGTTCCACTTTATCTGAGCTTCTTGAAGCTTTGCGCACATAGCAACTGGTCATCGAGTGCCTATAAATTTTCCAGGATGTGTTGGAAATGGTATATATTTAAATCATATTTTGAATAGAAGCTTGCGTCCATTGTGGAGCAATATTCTTCAGCAAAGATTCTGATGGAGCGGATACCGTGCGAAAGGCGTGCACTGCACACTGCACAGTGCGCAGAACACATAACATAAGAAACCATGGACTTGCGCGCTGCACTTAACGATTTAATTTTTAGTTTCTGTGTTTAACCCTCGCCGGCCGAGGGGGGGGGGGCGGGTGCCGCCCCCCCATAGGGTTTTTTTCGCGATAGCTCCGAACACGCTGGCAATAGAGAGCTGAAACTTGGCATACCTGACCTTTGATCCAAGCCGGATCTTTTGACACCAACCGCATTTTTGGGTCAGGTCAGGTCACTGACCTATGACGTCATAAGTGAACCTCTGCACGGTCTTCAGATGTCGCAACTTCGCAACGCCCTCACTGCCAGAGGAGATGTCACAGGGAAATGAAACTTGCAGGATCTAGTATCCATTATGAGTCCCACAACTTGTATATCTCGGATGTTTCCTAAAGGTCATATGAGGTCAGGTCATTTTCGTGACCTCACCATTATAAGTCAATGGGGAAAAATTCAAACTGCTATTCTGGCGCCGGGAACGATCTCCAACTATCTCAAGCACACAGAATCGTGATTTGATGCACTCCTTGCAAGGTTAGATGCGTCACTTTTGCAATGTTGACCTTGCGTGACGTCATTTATGACGTCATCAAGGTCAAATTAGTTTTTCGTCAATAACTCTTGATCAAATTGAGCTAGCGAGTCAGGAAAGGCACCAATGGACTCAGGAAGGTCTGCCGAATCGAATGATATGCGACATGACCTCTTTCGACCAACTTCGTGACCTGGGGGTGCTGACCTGACCTTGACCTGAGGTCAACACCCCAAGTTGACCTGACCCGGACAAAAAGTATATCATTCGACGCGCCTGAGCGAGGCGAACACGATGCTGCCAAAATCGGCGCTCTGCGGCCGTTTTTTGCGAAGTTATTCACCAAAAACTGAACCGTACCCTGGGGCACTTGACCTGACCTCAGAGGTCACCGGTTGACCTAGGACCTTAAAATCGGGTACCAATCTCTGCGTGTCGTAACGGCGCACACGCTCGTTTTTTCCGCGACGCGCTAGCTCCACCAGGGGCGAAACGGCGAGGGGGGGGTCGTACCCGCCCCCCCCCCTCGGCCGGCGCGTATGTAGAAAACCAATAGGTCCGGCGAGGGTTAAAGGACACGCATGCCTCCAATTGAAAATTTATTGTTTCACTTTCAGTAAACATGCTCGCCTTGGCCTCAAATTTCATCGCCATTTACGTTGTATCACCACCTGCATCTGCGCTTATTCCGCTGTCCACGATGTTCATCATCAGTGACATGAAATCGAGCTGAACTGGATTTCAAGGTTTATCTACCGATCTTTTGCTGAGAGGGTGGGCCCATCACGCTTCTCACTCTAATGCGTCACATCTTCTCGCCGACATTATCTAAGTCATGGAACGGAAGGCACGGAGCAGCAGGTTGTGAGGCGGGGATTACAGACCGGGTCACGCCCTGCAACAATGGCAAGATGGGTGCAGCGGGCGCAGCCAGCAGCTGGCATGGGCTTGGATTGGCCGCCCCGGCACCTGCATTTTACCGAAAATTCCACAAGCCCTGGACACGAGCCGTTGGAAAGTCAGCAGAAGGCGTGCGTCATGGAGGGGATCACGTGCCACATGCCGCTAATTTGGGCCGGGATTTCGGACGGCCCTAAAATAATGGATTCTGATTGAAAACCGGAATTTTCAATCTGTAGCGAGTGACTTGCTGAGGTCCTACCTATTGCTGATACCTTACCTTGGACATTTTTTATGTTTTATAGTAATATTCCATAGATGTTCTTTTCGTTTCCGACTCTTGTCTGAGTTAGGCCTTTACAAAGCTTGTTTAGCCTTAAGGATGTATCATGTATAATGCAATGGACTGTCAACAACCGTGCTTACAAGCATAAGCAATGGACCGTGGGCAATGCCTTGATGAATTCATGATGACCTGGCATACCGAGCTATGTGGTAAGAAATTGGAAGGCACGCCCGCTAAAGTCCACCTCCCAATCCACCTCCCAATTAAGGGCTCAGGCTGCTGCATTTGATATCTAATGGCTTGAAACGACCAAAGCGGGTTCCTGTGGCATAAGGCTCTAAATAGGTGTAGTTTTGTGAAGTTGTTAAACAACTTAAATATTTTGCTACGCAATAATTATCATGTCTAACGAGGGATATCAGTAAATGCGGTTTGTAATTTCTTATACTGAGAGTCTTAACCCTATTCCTGGCGGGGGGGGGGGGGGGCCTCAGGAGCCCCCCCTGAGGTTTTTTGGTTATATCTCCCAAACGCGTTGAGCTAGGAAGCTCAAATTTTCTGACTTTTCCTAAAAGGCTTCTACGCAACATGTCTGAAAATTTTGAGTTGATCTGACCTCAGGTCAGGTCACCAGAGGCGGTTTGGTGACGCTACCTCAGAAAAGTTGGCAATCACGCCAGAGCTAGAGTTTTTGACCGATCAATTTCTTCTCTTCAGGGTTAAGTTAGGGTACCAGTATGTGCAATTTGTATATCTCGGAATTTTGATATCGGTGACCTAA